AGGAGGTAAACCCAATTTATGCTGATGATCTCTCTCTGTCTCCTTCCCGCTTTGGTTTCTTTGCTATTCTCGGCACACATTTATGCAGTGCACTCGAGTGGGTTTTGCCGGCGCAGCAGAGGCTAACAGCGAGACTCACTTAACAACTTAAGCGCACTGTACGAGCTGGAAGTGTTGTGGAATCTCAGCTTTGCCAATTAAAGCTGAGTGTTGGGAGATTTCGTGGGCAAAAGTTGCTCAGTCAGCAGATGGAAATCTGTGATGCATTCTCAAGTAGCGCTGTCCTAACAGTCAACTCATTAAAGAAGTGCCAACTCTTCACATCGAGGCCTATATATGTGTATGTATATACTGCAAAGTCTAAACACAAGTGTTAAAATGAATTCACTTAACAGCTTTTGATATTTAATACAAAATAAAACAGGCTCACAAGGCAAATTGAATAAGTGTTACCAAAGACGCAGCTGCAGAGTGAACCTGTAAACCAGGTGCTCGATTCTGTAAATGCCACAGGGGTACACGCTGTCTACTGCTAATGCTAACCATTAACATTATCATGCCTTCTGCAGCTCTAATGGCTGTTTTCTATTACTTCCTTGCTCCCTGAATTAGCCACAGTGACCTTTGAAGCGTTCCCGCAAGCCATTCACAGCCTCTGCACCTTTCTTCACTCTCTCTGCTGTCAAGCAGCAGCAAAGAGAGATCAAACACCGAGCCTCGTGGCTGCAGAGGCTTCTTTAGAGCTGTATCGCCCCCAACATTCATTGTCACTTTGCTTTGTTGTTTGCTGTGACACTGGTGCTTACGTATGTAGGATTTTTCGCTCGTTGTTTTTTCAAAAGCTTTTGTGTGTGCGTGTGTAGGTGTGTGTGAGTGGGTGTTGGGCAATGATTAGGGTGAAATAATGCAAGGCCTTCTGGCAGGTAGTGCCAGAGCTAAACTTGACGACGGTCGGGGGTATCTTCTGTTATTTGAGGGCACAACTTTAGCCCTGGTTTGTTTCTGTGTATTTGTGTCTACACACACAAGCTACTATAATCGCCAGAAACCCACAGTTTCTTTTCATCATTCTGTCTGACTGCTGTTTTTGAGTTATCCTGCAGCCTGTGACAGGATGCACTGTGTGAAAGGAAGGAAAACCCCTTGGACAGGTGGGCCAGTCCATCGCAGGGCGTACATTCAAACCCATTTGCAGTCATATTTACACTTCTGAGCAGCTCATCTTTTGTCTTGAAGGCTTAATTTTATTATCGTCTGGCTTGAATGCCAATGAGCACGCCAAAGTACTCTCAGAGCATCATTACTGGTAGATACACATACGTCATTGAGAATTTTAAAGGAAACCTCAAAGCAGTGAATATGCTTCTGTGAATATGATTGTAAGCACAGATGCTGCTCGTGGTGTAAGGCACACGTGGGTGTGTCCAACTGCTTTTGTGATTGTGTTGACTGGAAGCGCCTCTGAAACCCTGGCACAGCACAGACTGATCTTAACTGGCTGGAGGATGATAAATATATTGCTCGTAGGAGGAATGCATTATCAGCAGGTGGAACTGGAGTGGACCTCAGCCACAGCCACTAAATTGATCTCCTCTCAAGAGCTTCAAAGCACAGATATAAACCTCCTTTCAAGGACAGTCGTAAATTCCCATCAGTTTATGTTTTGAAAGTTAAATAATAATGGATATATATGATTAAATATTACTAAATTGATATGATGAAACCCAGTTCGAGTGGGTCACAAGCTAGCGTATATTGCTCATGCTGGTCCCGAGCCTGGATAAATGGGAGGGTTATGTCAGGAAAGGCATCTGGTGTAAAATCTGTGCCAAATCAAATGTGCAGATCTGTTCGCTGTTGCGACCCCCTGGGAAATAACGGGGCAGTCCAAAGTGCCTTCTATTAAACGGATATGATAACAATATATCAGTATTATAATGTGCATGACTGCATATGTACATTGTAAATGTAATATAACTGTAATAAGATAGCATACTCAATGCAGAAATATAGTACATAAACCAGACCGCCACATCATAAAAAACACTTACAGGTGAATAACATTGATCATCCAATTATGATGCACAGTTCTGCCGGGAAGCTATGGCTCCTGGCTTTCACTCTGGTATTACTTTGACACCTATCACCTACTCATATACTAATGCAGACCAGCACTCCCCATATACATTGTGAAAAGGCTGTTAGACAGATAGAACATATATATATATATATATATATATATA